CGCACAGACGAACGGACGGACGGACGGACGCACGCACGCACGCACGCAGGGACGGACGACCGCACGGATGCAGACACGCACGGACGCGCGGACGCACTCACGCACGCAACCACGCACGCACGAGCGCACGGACGAACGGACGGACGGACGGACGGACGCACGCACGTACGCATGGACGGACGACCGCACGGATGCAGACACGCACGGACGCACTCACGGACGCACTCACGCACTCTCGCAGGCACGCACGCACGCACGGTCGCACGCAAGCACGCACGCACACACACACACTCAAACTTCCTATAATCATATCCTGTTTTAAAAATATGAATACGTAAGTACTGCATTTCGCAAGATTACGGGTTGTGCTTATGTTCTTCGGTGGCACAGTTAGTACTATGAGAGCTCGGTGAGGAGGTTTCGGGTTCGGTTCAGGAAACGAAAATTTTTAAGTTAGTTCTGATATAGGTTATCCTGTTGTTTGTTACCCTCAGAGTTATCGTTATTCTGGTATTCACAGTACAGTCAATTTCTTAATTTGAGACCAGAAATTTGGTGTTATTGTCTGGCATTTCTTCTTCCCTAAATGCTTCTTTTCCAAGAAAAAGGAATCTAACAGAGAGACGGTAGAGATACAACAACACTATAAGTATCTCATTTTCGTTACATCGGGAAGTGTGCCTTATTTTTAACAATTCTGAGATCTTATCCTCGCAATAGAGCCTCTGGAAACTACTTACGTACGGTGGCGTGCGGACGAAATATTTTTTTTCCACCATATCGGGAAATATATTTCTATTTGTGTCAGTGAGTCACAACTTGTAGCTTATATATATAGCTTAACATAATAACAAGTACGAAAATATTGTTATGAATACCTTTATTCTTTCATATTACGTTTCACAACCTGTAAGTACAACTGAAGTAATAACGTTACGTCAGAGAACTTCCGTAGGCGACCTTCGTAGTCGAGTGCCTTGCACACTGGTTTTCATTATTTCACTGGTTTCTATTACTTTATTAACGAATAATCAACTTTGCTATACAATAGATCCGCAATGGCGTCACTTTTTACATAGAACTCATTGACTTACAATTACATGGACGTCTGGTCCGCGCTAAAAAGTGTCCGAACTTATAAGGCGTTAAAATCGTATACAGAGCGTCATTCACGCTTTAGTCTTCGTTTGTTCGACTGACAGCGAAGCAAGCAAAATTAGACAGTACTGCGATGACATTACAATTTCAATTCAACGTTTTAGCTTTTTCATATTCCTTTACATGTCACTACGTTTAAATAGGTTGACTTGGGACATTTTTTTCGTGGTTTTTTGTATTAGACCCGTCGTCCATTTATTTGTAAGTCAATGATAGAACTATATAAACATGTAACAATGACGATGACAAAGTATTCCCCATCCAAGTACGTTGTACAGCTATGAACACGTTGAAACTTAAACCAATCTATTAGCAAAACAAAACTCGCTGTTTGTTTTTAATCGATTTTAATTATTTGGGTGGACCGTGACCTCATTTTTCAAATAATCACAAAATGAACAATGTGTACTTAAAGCCCGGTTTTAAAACTTAGTAATCGAATCACACCGTTTATAATTACGACTGTTTATTAAATATTTAAAATTCCAAAATAATTAATGTAAAAAATGTCGTGACCACTGGCTTTGTATGATATCTATGTCAAAACATAGACAGCACAATGAAACGATGATGTTGTCTAAGATTTTTCATCCACTTGTCTATATATACATATAGTATCGATAATATGCTTTAATATACATTCATTCTAAATCTTGATTTGCGAGAGCTTTGATTTAGTTTTCAGTAAAAAAACACAGTTTAAATCGTTGTCCCTTTTTTAACAACAAAGCGCATTGTCGCCTGGATCAAAACGAAGATAGTACCAACTAAGCGAGAGTGAGATTGACCCTCTGTAGCTAGGCCGATAGGAAACAGATCTACAAATCGATCGATCGAGCTTTACCAATCCTTAACTTTACATGGATTCGGCCATTGAAAGTGCTTTTCCATCGGCGAGGTGAGGCGAGAATTAAAATCTCGCCGACCTATTTTCACCAAAAATTGCTATCGCGAGCTCGCGCGAGCACTCGCGATCTCGCGCTAGGGTTATGGATAGTGAAAACACAGTGCTGTTCAATTCGTCAAGCCACAAACACGCGGCTATCTATCTTTTATTATTATTAAATATGTTAACGGAAGAAGAATCAGATGAAGATACGGTTAGAAGAAATAATCATGTTGTAATATAAGCTGCTTAAAATAAATAAATAATAAATAAAAATAAAAATAACTTTTTCCAAAATAGCTTTTTTTTAATATAATCTTTTATCCCTGGGCAAATATTACAAACTAGCAAATTACACATAAAAAAGTTTACAATTATCGCTGGCATGTTTACGTTAAATTGCAACTATATTGTGTACCTATATATATTTTTGAAAACGATGCAATGTTTTAAAAGTGGTTACATAATTATGATAAAATCACAATCCTAATCGTGTACATTTTAATGCAATTATAAATACATAATATGCATTGTATAAATACACACATCAAAAGTGTCTAGGGATCAAGTGAATATTTTTGAAATAAAAATTATTTAAGCAATATTTACCAAATCCAGTCTTCCAGGACGACTTCTTACTTTAATGCTTATGTTTTATTTAACCGCTTACTTATATGTAATTAAAATAAACTAAAATTGATGTTTTTGCAAATTGTGGGAAAAAACTCAAATTAACAGCGTCAATTAAATGACAAAAAAATGGCGAAAATGATGATTATGCTCATTTTTATTGTAAAGATAAGAAAATTAATAATCTGTATTTCCACCATTAACACGAATCACACAATTACAGCGATTTGGCATGCTTAAGATGAGTTCATCAAAATCACTTTGAGGAATGGCCGCCCATGTGTTTTGTAACAAGTCAAAATATTGTTGTAGAGTATGTACGGTATGCATACTCGGCACAGCTCTTCTTTGAAGCATATCCCATGCGTGCTCAATTGGATTGAGGTCTGGCGATTGAGCAGGCCACGGCAGAACGTTGATACGAGCTTCGGCAAGAATGCGTGTTACGACTCTAGCCGTGTGTGGACGTGCGTTGTCATGCATTAGTTGAAATGAATCACCCAACTGGCCTCGCAAATTGATAATAACATCTGAAACAATCCTCTCTGCGTAAACTTGAGCATTGAGGTTACCCCTGATCCAAATGAGATCGGTTCTTCCGCCGATCCAAATACCGGCCCATATCATTATTGTTCCCCCACCATATGGATGAACTTCCTGACAATATCTCAAACGTTCATGACGTCCAGATGTTCTCCAAACTCGAGTACGTCTTGTATCCGGTCTCATACCGAAGCGGGATTCATCCGAAAAGCACATATAGCGCCAGTCTTCTTCCTCCCAGTTTCTGTGTTCGCGAGCCCATCGTAAACGGGTCCTGCGATTGCAGGGTTCAATAGGTGGAACTCTGAGCGGCCTTCGGGATCGCAGACCCACTTCACGTAAACGATTTCGGATTGTTTGATCGCTTATTAGCAAGCCCGAGGAGCTGTGGAGCCTCGTAACCAACATCATGGCGGTCATGGTACGATTCCGTCGAGCAGTATTTTGGATATACCGGTCCTGTCTGCGAGTCGTGATGCGAGATCGTCCTCCATGTCGCTCGACCACGCTGCCCGTCATGCGATAGCGCGTCCAGAGGCGACTTATGACGCTCTGAATTTTAAACAATATTCCTTATTTAAATGTTAAAACTCACTAAAAAGTATCAATAGCGATACAAAAAAGTTAATGTAATTAACCCTAATTGCAGCAATACTCTTAAAACGTACTTGATCCCTAGACACTTTTGATGTGTGTATTTACGAAAATGATATGGATACATGTATCATAAATATGTATCATGCGCGAGCTCGCGCGATATCGTACGAGACATCGTGAATCATGTTTCCGTTGCAGAGTTAATAAAGAGTCTATGTAGGCAGCAATACGGTTCAATGTTACATTAACAAATATTTCCAATCTCGTCTCGCCCATCCTCGTCAATCCCGACCATTTCCACCAAAGATGCGCTAGGAGAGAATTGATATTTCGCCATACAAATTTTAAAAGTCGTCTCGCCTCGTCTCGTTTCGCCTCGCCGGTGGAAATACACCATTAGCCAGTAACTCGCAGCGTGACAGCGTGTGTTTATTGTGCGTCCCCGACGTGACGACGAAATTTCGGTAAGTATATAACTTTTTATATAAATTGTATTTTTATATTTTGGTATTTAAGTCTGAAATGTTTTACATGCATGTGTTCCGTCATTTTCATAAAAATTGTTGAAGAAAAATAATTAAAAATCGTATTTTGTCTCCTGACTGACAATTCCACAGAGTCACGAAAACTGTGACTCAAGGGACAATTTTGGTGACCCAAGCTTTTCTGTACTAAAGATTTCGTTATAAGTAAATACAAAACAAACAAATTAACTAAAGAAACATTCATAAATGACAATTTAAACTTAACAAACGACAATTGTTTTGGAGTTTTTGAAATTTTAGTTTATATACCGATATTTTAAAAATATAATCAAACTGAATCGAACTTTAGATATTTTTGAGTATTATGAGTAAGTACTTGTGTTAGTACTTTTCTTAGTAGAAATCTTGAGTTTCTGTTAAATGAATGTGTCTCAAGCATAGATTCATTATACATTTTTAAAGCAACTGTTTTTTTTTACAAACAAATTGAAATCAGTTTGAATACGATTTTTTAATACAAGCATTACACTTACATAAAATTAATTTATTTCAGTTACCATGCCATTATCGCAGCTGTGAGGCGACGGCGATATAAGAAAAATATTAAAAAGGTCCCTGTAAATATGAGGAATGTAAAAGAAAACGAAGTGTGATTTAATTTGGTTATTGTTTCTTTTTCCATGATTACTTTAGGAATAGAACCAGCGGCTGGTTGTTATATTTTTAAGATATTTTTTATAAGATTAATTGTCCAACAATTCGTAATTTACGTATGTCGTACAAATGACTGTGTCTCTTGCGTCACCTAGATGTCTTCGCTCACAAATTGTCCCCATTTTGTGTGCTATTTTTTGTGCAATTTAAATTTAACTGAAAAGTTATAGAACAAAATTTTGTACAGAACAAGCTTGAAGAATGACGGTCGGTAGTTACATAAATATTAAGTGCATCTTTTTTGTGTTTCTATGAACAGAGTTATAACAAAAGTTTATCCAGTTCATTTTACTCTGTGACTCCAGAGACACAATGTGATCTATATTTAAAAGAATGAGGCTGTTTTTTTTAGTTTTGATACGCCATATTTAATATTAATATACTTATTGATATTAAAGTACAGTGACTGATTACAAAGTTAGTTTTTATTTACTTTTTGTCATAACTACAAATATATACGTTAGCTAGGAGACATCATGAAGTGTCATAATAGACAAAAAAAAATTTTTTTAAGACTTTCGCGGTTATTCACTAAATGATTATCACTAGTATCAGGTTTCTTACCACGGTATGACTTCTTTTTATTTTCCCGATATTTCGGAACGGTTGCACGCTTCTTTCTTTTAGTTGCACGTTCATGGTCACGGGTTGACTGGAGTCACTGATACTAGTGATAATCATTTAGTGAATAACCACGAAAGTCTTAAGCCAGTCAACCCGTGACCATGGAGCGTGCAACCGTTCCGAAATATCGGGAAAATAAAAAGAAGTCATACCGTGTAAGAAACCTGATACTAGTGATAATCATTTAAAAAAGTATTTTATGACTATAAACGATGTTAAATAAATAAAGATAGGTATTAAGATAGAGAGCACGTCCATTTCTTTTTTTTTTTTTGTATAAAGGAAGCTGTAGTGGCTCATATAACGGACGCTACAGGAATATCACACGGTAATATAACTTTTGATTTTATAACGGGAGATTTAAAATTCTACCTCGAAGTTCTTAGTTAGAAGGGTAGTAAGCTCTCTGATAATCCAAATTTTAATTTTAAAAAAGACAATACGTCGTATTACCGTCAAGGTGTATTTAAGGAGTAATCCCCTGTCCTGGCACACAAGGAACTAAATACAAAATTATTTTCGATGAAAACCTGTGTTAAAAAATAATGCAGCACTGATGTGAATCCAAAGTTACATTTCGCTTGTCCCTTTTTATCGTCCGTACCGGAAGTACTCTGTATTCGATGGGAATAATTGAGCTGTAAGAAGATAGCTCTCCTGAAAATCCTTGTTCAGTATTAGGTGTACCACTTTGAAGTGGAATGGGACATGAATAGGATATATCTACTAATCATAATTCGTAGACGCCTAAATTACTTCGGAAATTGAAATTTGTTTTCGAGAAACTTTTATAGAGCACAAAGCGTTTGTTTAAGATTTAGAAGTAGGTTCATGCCTTTATAACAATAAATCTCAGATGAAGCTTTTGTTTTAAAACACCGTATTGAAATTGATTACCGAAGTACATTTCCGCATGTCATTGTCGGCTTTGAATGATAAGTTAAACTTGGTGAAGAGTGTTGTAAGCGATAAAACGAAAGTGTCAATAATTATGTGTTAATAAAACTTTTATTGAATAAAATTTTTGTTTAGTTACGCAAAAATAATATTCCCGTTTGAATTTGTAGTTTGAATTTGTAATATTGTAATTTTTATGGGGATTGTTGGCGGAAATTGTGCATTTATGGTGTAGTCATATGGCTTGCATTACGTCGAACACTAGCACAGCGCCTATGCTCGGAGTTTAGGGCTCTATTGTTTTGAATATTGTACCTCAGTGCTATTTTTGTTACCAGGCGTAACAGAACGTTTGGTGGAGATTTGCGAGCTACGGACATTCAGCGTGGTCGCGACCATGGCCTTGGCTCATATGTGAATACGCGGGCTGCTTATGGCCTCTCTGTACCGCAAAGCTTCCATGAAATGAGTGACTACATATCCAAAGAGGTATACTCGTGTATAAGGTCTTATTTTTAGTTAATATATCCGCTTCGGTACGGGAAAACAAAAACTGAACTTATGGCGAGGTCTTTTAACGCGAACCTAGATTTTAGGAGGGGGATGGCCTCTCGCGTCTCACAATCCGCGCGCTGTAAATATGAATAAAATAAGAACAGGCGGAGAAAATTTAACACAGTTCCGACGTCGACAAACACCCGATGGCGACCAACGGCGCGGCTTGTCGTTAAATCGCTGGGCAATTCACAAATTTTGGTATTAATGTGAATTTGTTAACTAATAGGGCTTCAGTTTTTTTTACTCTTTATTTATTTAGTATATGAACTCTTTCTGCTGCTACTAAAAGGTTTCTGGCAATGAGTGTAAGTATGTTCAAGAATTGCTACGCACTTCTACTATTTGCTACCTTTTCTAAATATTTGCCACCTTTAAAAATACTTGATCAACCATTCTAATGTCAGAAGTAAAGCACTAAAAATTTTGCTTTCATAATTGAATCAGGCACTTCTTCTTAAAATTGTCAATAGGTAGCAATTATTGGTAATACATACTTCTGGAAAATCTGCTCCCTTCATGCTGGCCATCAGCCATTCTGGTACCACAATGGCCGGTCATTTTTTTTAAATTTCTCAGAATATATCAAAGGTAGCAATTATTTAGAAAACATAGCAAATAGTAACAAATAAATAACAATTCTTGAATATACACTCAGTGCCAGAAACCTCACCAGACTAATTCGCCTCAATGTGTTAATTGTTAAACGCTTGTGCACTTTTTTTTTTTTTTTTTTTTTTATACCTGACAGGCAAATGACTCCACTCCACCTGATGTTATAATGTTTATAATATTATGACGATAAAGCACTAAAAACTTTTGCTTTCATAATTTAACCAGACACTTCTTCGTAAAATTTTCAATCGGTTCTATTTTTTAATTAATGTAGATAAGAAGGTCATACCTTTAATTGGTGAAAGTAGCAAATAGGTAGCAATTATTGGTAATACATACTCCTGGAAAATATGGTCCCTTCATGATGAACAAAGTGGCCACCAGCCACACTGATATCAGAATGACTGGTCAATTATTTTTTTAAATTTCTTAGAATATATCAAAGATTACAATTATTTAGATAAGGGAGACACCCCTCCCACAGACCCCTCTCCCACGGCACCAGAGTTATTCCGTCGGGCCTTTTTCCATCTGATTGGAAAATAATTTGAGGCATACCTTAAATAGAACATTACACAGCTTGACATTTCATTATAGTAAATTTCATTTTATGGATACTAATAATTTTATTAGTAAATATTTTTATTTGACTAAAGATAGGTATTATCTTACTAGTTATTTTAGGAGACAGATAGCAGAGTTGCTATCATATTACATTAATAATTCAGCCAAATCGTTAGCTACCAGACCGGCTGCTTCTATTGAGCAGTCCGTTGACATAGGTCAGTTTACTGAAAGTAATCGATCTGTTGAAAATAATTCAATTTCTAATTATTTAAATTAATTAATAAGACAACGGAGAGATACTCTTGCAACACAATGACAGTAAAAAACCAGCATAAAACACACAGAAATAAAATAAATTGTATATTAAATCTGGTGCACCAAAATATTCAAGACACGAAAGGCAAAGAGTTAGAAATAGAATTATTTATTAACTGTAATAATATTGATATTCTTTGTATTACTGATTACCTTTGTATTCGTTTTTCAATATAGAAAACATAAGTGAAAAGTGCTCCAAACTTGTAGAAGTAATCTGTACTTGCAGTCCAATAAGTTACTTATAATGCCTTTGAATCTGCCTTGTCCTCTCTACCATAATAATATAAGCTAATGGTAAACAATGTTCTAGTGTTCTAGGTTATTATGTATTACCTCTTAATTCGTTGAACTTTCAAAATCTAAATATCAATGAACGCATTCAAACATACAAAATTAGTTACAGGAGAGTGTCCGGGTTATATATAATGTAATTTGTGTCAATAAGAACGTCAGAGGATATTTATGGTACACTTAACGGGACGGGACATGGAAAGGGATGGCAAGAGAACGTATGGGCTAATAAACAGACAGTGGCTCTATTTGAAATCGAACTTTATTACTACTTACAAAAGTCGCAGTAGAGCTCCTTGAGAAAGAGTGCGTCCAGGGAAGTACTGCCACCTTACTTATTTCTGCCGCCAAGCAGTAATGTGAGCATTATAATTTTGTACCTACTTACAACTGCAATAAATTATGTAAATTACAGCGACTTAATAAAACATGTTGTATTCCGAGCAGCCGTCGGTTTCCACAGCTTATACAAAGCACTGCTTGTACAAATTTTAATAGTTAATTTCGTTCGAATAAATCAGCACAGGTATACGCAAACGGCGGATATTGAAGTTATCAACTCAGGAATGCGTGTTCTACTTTTTATTCATTCCCTTACGCAGGTCGGCGATGTTCACCCATTTGTGGCCTCAAAAGCGTGCTCAGATTGACCCTTAATTTATAATAGTAATGAATGAAATACATAAAAAGTTCAAAAAATTGAAAAGGTACAATGTACTAAAATCCAACCCGTTGAAAGGTGGGAGTCCATTACGGAGTTTTTTTTAATAATATCAAGTGACGGGACGAACAAGTCGCGCGCATTATGGTAAGCTACACGCCTGTCCATAACAGTTACAGTGCCACTCAGAGCTTTAAATCGCAAAGATTTGAGGAGCACTTCCACTGCGCCCGTCACCCTGAGACATAAGTTGACAAGTCCCATGTGCCTGTAATTTCACCAGCACCCTTACCCTTCAAAACCGGAACACAGTAACGCTCTCATTACTGCTTGGCGGCAGAAATATGTAAGGTGGCAGTACTGCTCTGGACGAACTCCTTCACAAGGAGCCCAACTGCTACTGAAATTATAGTCTGGCAAAAGTTAATGGCAATATAATTTCTTTTTCAGCGTTTTGAAAAGAGATTTGCGGTCGTTTCAATTTAAAGAGTTTATTAAAATCAAACTCACAGTCGATGTCAGCCATTTTAATTATAGATCAAAGCTCCTGATGTCTTTTTCTTATCACATTTTATTGTCAAAAGTGCCCGAAGAAATTAAAATGGTCAATTTGTTTAAGTACAAATAACATTATAATTAAAGAAGACGTACTTTAAGGGTGCCTTATTTTTTATTTTATTAGATGCTTATATAAATGCTGTAGTACCACAGTGGCGCTGCAACCGCGGCACTGGTAATTGTCGTACAATACAGTGTGTTGATTTGCATTCTCGCCATACTTAAGAAATTAATAATATAAATAATACTAAACTAATATTCTGGTCAATATTCTGACTAATTGTATCTGGTAAAGTTTTGCAAAATTGTCTTTAAATCATATGCATCGCCGGGCATTGTACCCGACGGGGCCCGAGCAAGCCCGAGCGAGCGCTCGGCCACTCGGCATTTCACCGGACGGTATTGTTATAATTTATTAATTATTTGCAACATAGGGAAGTAGACTGAAAATATTTGTTTGTTTTGTAAAACTTAAAATTAAAATTTGGTATTTACCAATTTTAGGTTAGGTAGGTACCTACCCTCGAAGGAATTTCCATAAGTGTCCACCGGTTGGTGTACACTTATGCCGCTATGATTGGCTTTGCAAAAATTCGCATGTTGTCGAGAGCTTCGTTTCAACTTTCTGAGTTAGCAAATGACTTCACAAATTTGAAAGTGGCGACGGTTTTTGCGCGCAATTGTTCAATACTCGGTAATACTCTTGTATACTAAGCATTCACGTCACCTCATTAGTCATACACTTGCCGTCCATAATTAAAAGGAGCGCTACCTTGATGGTAATACAGTTCTGGTGAATACCAAACATCTCTCAAACCACGCGCGACTGACTGTACACCGATTGATGAGGCGCCCGCTTGTATTTGAGAAAGAGATAACAAGAGAGTAAACAAGTCGGTCCGTTGTGTGATAGCTCGTGTCATGCAAAAGTTCCATGACCTTTGGATCAGGTGATTGCGAATCGATGTTTACCGCAACTAAATAAAAAAATAACAATTTAGGAACTTTTTTGCGATTTATTTTTTTGTGGTTTGGAGTCAGTTTTGAATATAGAATAACCTCTGTAAATATGGCGAGAATGCAAATCAAGACATTGTATTTAGATGTGCAGCTGCAGCGCCACAGTTGCGCCACGCGCGCGCCTTGTTTACAAAGTAGATAGATATTGTACCACAGTTGCGCCACGCGCCATTTCAGCGCTCCTACAAGCGGCTGATTTGTAGGCGCCCTTGCTGTGATAGAATCATGATCCCATTCCGTATGACTATGAATACATCTGCCATGATCTTATTACTTGTAATAATATAGGAATATATATATATATATATATATATATATATATATATATATATATATATATTTATATTATGTGTGAATACCCAAAATGTAACATTTCGCAGTACTAACTTCTAATATAAAGCATCGATGACTAATACATAGCTAACGTACTCCGATCACGCAACATTTCTAAAAGGTGTTTCGGCACAAGTATTTTACTCAATAAAATACTTTCGTAACATTGTTCTCTTTACCTTTTCCTTATTTAGGGGTGACACTGGATCTAAATCACTTAAAAGAAAGAAGTGAACAACAGCGAAAGTTTTCTTTCCTTATGTACCTACTTTATAATATTCAAGACATGCAGTATTTATGCTTAGAATAATAACGCATAGAATGATAGTTTCATATCAAACGAACTGTCACAAGTGAGGCAAAAACCAAATTCATGTAGGCGTAAGCAACTTGTAACTACGCTCGTCGGCACGCACACAAATATACAAATAATGATGCCATGGAATAACATTTCCCTCAAAAGTGGGGAAATTGTATCTTGCTTAACTCATCATTAAGTTAAAGGTGCCTACAGATTTGCCCGACATTGTCGATCAGGTGCCTACAGATATGCTCGGTTTTGTCGATGAAAAACGAATATAGCACTTATTTGTAAATCCAAGATGGCGGACACGATTTTTCAAAATATGCTATATGGGTATCCTTTTCGAGGTACTTGGGGGTGCTCATGACGAATATGGCACTCATTTCTACATCCAAGATGGCGGGCACGATTTTTCAAAAAAATGCAATATGGGTATCATTTTCGAGGTACTTGGGGGTGCTCATTACGAATATGGCACTCATTTCTAAATCCAAGATGGCGGGCACGATTTTTTCAAAAAAATGCAATATGGGTATCATTTTCGAGGTATCTGGGGATGCTCATTACGAATATGGCACTCATTTCTAAATCCAAGATGGCGGACACGAGTTTTCAAATAAATGCAATATGGGTATCATTTTCGAGGTACTTGGGGGTGCTCATTACGAATATGGCACTCATTTGTAAATCCAAGATGGCGGGCACGATTTTTTCAAAAAAATGCTATGTGGGTATCATTTTCGAGGTATTTGGGGATGCTCAATGCGAATATGGCACTATTTGTAAATCCAAGATGGCGGGCACGATTTTTCAAATAATGGCAAGTTGGGTATCGTTTTCGAGGTATTTGGGGGTGCTCATTACGAATATTGCTTTTATTTGAACTGTCGTGTTTGCCATCTTGGATTTAGAAATGAGTCCCATATTTGTATTGAACATTCCCAAACATCTCGAAAACGATACCCAACTTGCCATTATTCGAAAAATCGCGCCCGCCATCTTGGATTTAGAAATAAGTGCCATATTCGAAACCTAAAACCGAAAATGCCATAAGCAAACATTAAAGAAAATAACTGTTAAAATAGATTAAAAAATCGCTTAAGAATGCTCCCCTTTTAAGAAAATAAAATATTTTAATATAAAATATTTCGCTTGAGTTACGAAAAGAAAGACATATAATAAGCTATCAAAGTTGTACTGGTGGTGCCAACACTATAGTAGAAACAAATATATACTGTAAATTTGTTGCAATATGTGCTCCAATTCAAATAAAATTAATATGAATAATTATTCAATAAAGCATGAACGCAGAGCCGTTAAAAGTATTATAAAATAATTAAGTGTCCCAATCACTTACAGGAGTTAACGAAAACATTCAATTAACACCACTAAAATTTACGTAATATAATTATTTTGATACAGAATGGCAAAATGGGGAGAAAAAAAATTCGTTACTTTGCAACACTTTCGTATCTTGTTGCCGCGAAATTATTTTTCTGTTTTAGTGAATATTTACATAAAAATATGAGTTGAAACGCATTACTTACTTGTGGAATGCGATGTTAGTGTCTATTTTGTTTGTCTGTTGTATTTTTACACCCATTTACCGCACATTTCGTCATTTTTAGCAAAAAATTTTGGAGCTGTTCGCGGTGCAATATGACCTTGAGCACTAACAGCCCGCGCGCTCCTGGGACGCGTTTGGAACCCTCTAACTTGCCTCACTTAGCGTGTGCGGGCTAGGTTTCTATGCGTTATTATTCTAAGTATTTATGTATAAATCGATATCATAAATATCCCTCATCGCATATAAGACAAAGGAACGCAGTGCTTTGACTATAAAATTCAATTAACAAGCTTCTTTTTAAAATGACGTTTACCGAATATCACAATGTTTTACTACCATGGCATTCATGTCAGTTTGTCTGTATCAATATCACAATGTTTTACTGCTATGATATTCAGTTACTTTTTGTGAAATGACTCCATTAGTTTGTTATAATTGTATACTGAGTGAAGACAAAATTTCATAGATTTCTCACACATGGCGTCACGGCAAAAAGCAATTAAAAATCAAATGCAAAGCTCTGCAACAAGCACATAGAAAAATTCGTAAGGTCGCCTATTTCATTCTGTGGCTCAATTGGGTGGGAGAGTGTCAGCCTGGTATGCTGAAGATTGAATCCAGCCGGATTGAATGAATTTTTCTTAGTGTTCCAACTTTACATTACTAATTATAACAAAGGTTGTTTTTAATTCAACAGAACATACAAGTCTTGCAATCATTGTACGAGTCACTTCAGGATGTGGAATTAGTAGTTGCCGGGTCGCTGGAACATAACGTTCCAGGTGCTCTAGCTGGCCCTACATACCTTAGCATCCTCACTGAACAGTTCTACAGAACCAGAGTTGGAGACAGATACTTCTTTGAAAACGGAGCTGATCCTGACATCGCCTTCACTCCTAGTAAGTTTCGTCCAAAACTTGTATATCCGTAAGTAGTAGTAGCCTGTATCGCCTCTCATTTGAGACTGGTGTAGTTCCCAAGTCGTGGAAGCTTGCAAACGTGCAACCTGTGCCCAAAACAGGAAGCAGAGCTGACCCTGTCAACTACAGACTTATCTCAGTCACTTCCATGTCCTGCAAGACTATGGAACGTGTACTCAACAACCGTGTGCTGACGTACCTTGAAGACAACGACCGCCTCAGTGATCGCCAGTACGGATTCCGACGAGGGTGATCCACTGGAGATCTTCTTGTGTATCACATATGGAGCTAGGCTATAGAAAAGCAAGGCGAAGCACTTGCAGTGTCTTTGGACATTTCTGAAGCCTTTGACAGGGTCTGGCAAGCAAACCTTTTAAGTAAGCTTCCATGTTATGGGCTTCCCATTGACCTTTGCAATTGGATCTCGGATTTCTTGAGCGGACGGTCCATTCAAGTGATCTTAGAAGGCTACTTTTCCGAAAATCGGGCGACAGATAGAGGTTCCGCAATACTTTTTCTGCTGCATATCAATGATATGTTAATTCAAGATATCTATGCTTATGCTGATTACAACACAGTTGTAGATAGGTATTTGACCAATGCTAGGGTCAGTGGGGAGGAAATCCTGTCTTGTCGAGAATCTATAGTTAGCCGTTGGACTTGACACTCAAGGCGGTCTTTTTTTTATAAATTCAAGACAGTCTTCGATTGGGGCGATGCTAATCTTGTCAAATTTAATGCTATTAAAACGCAGGCGTGTCAATTTACCAAAAAACGGAGTCCCTTTGAGCTAACTGCGACTTTTTTTATCTATCCATACCAATAGCCGACAGTCTCCAGATCCTTGGAATAGACCTGTCGTCCAATCTGAACTTCGGCAGATACATTGAATCCACGGGCAAAAATGCACCCAGGAAGCTTGGCATCCTTTTCAGAGTGAGGCGTTACTGCCTTCGTGGCCGAACGGTTACCATACTGGCGCGCAGATGTCCCAAGTTCGATTTCCGGGCGGGAAGAAATATTTGTATGGCTTACATTTATTTCTCTCGTGAGTTTGGGTGTATTTTATGGATGTCTATGTGTGTGCCCATGACACCCGTGACACAGGGTTCCCTAGTGCGGGGCTATGTTGAGTGTGTGTGTTATTATTATTACTATTAATATTACATCCCACCGGGACAAGTATCAAGCACAAGTTCGGTCGTATATGGAGTACTGCTGCCACTTTTGGGATAGTGACCTTGGTTTCAATTGACAAGCGTGCCAAGAGGTTATAGGTGACTCGGAATTAGTAGAGGCGAAGCTGCACAGTCATGAATACCGCCGTAAAGTTGCGTCCTTATCGGTATTTTACGGGATATATCACGGAGAGTGTGCGATGAAATTATAGTCCGTTCTAATCCATTTTGAACAAAAAGTAAACAAACCTGTTTAGTAAAAATTCTAAATCACTCAATAAATCGAACATGTAACACTTTCACGAATATTTCGAAGATTTTGGGTTGATATCTCATCACTTTTTCTAACAATATTCATTTGAATAGCATCGGAAAATCGTATTTGAAAAATGGTAGTCCAAAAGTGAGGTTATTATTCATGTTTTATACTTCTATGACTTACCTATGGTTGCATAGTGCTGTTCGAAAAAAACATTCAGTTCAATCAATTAAAGTTTAGTAATCGATTATTACATCGAACATTTCAATCGCAATCGAACGAGTATCTGAGCGTAAGGATTTGAAGGAGGATTTGAACTAAAATTTTAAATATAAGCATATTTAAAATTTCAGTGTCATGTAGGTTATTTATGGAAAACCGCTGGTATGGCTCAATTGAACAAATCGATTCATCCAATTATTTAATCGATGTGTAGTTGGCGTTACAATTGGCCATCACTAAACCATCTATGGGCGGTGACTTGTTTGTTTATTTTTCGTTCAAAATGGATTGAAATGAAGTACACACGATTTAATTTCGCCTTTCCCTTTCCATCATCGGGGAACCAGACGTAGGCCTGGATTCCACCCCTATGTTGTGGATATTCCAATGATTCGCACGAAACACGTTAGCTTCCACATTTATATGGCGAACGGTTAACGGGTGGACTTCCCTGCCAACCGACTTGTTTCCTGAACGTTATAACTTCGACCTTTTCAAGACGAGAGTGAATGGACATTATTTAGGTGTGCATGCTCAATCGTCGACCTCTGCATGGTCCATCAGATGAAAAGGAAGTTGAATGCGCAGTTACATTTATATAAAAAAACAATTTAGTCGTATTAACAGACTAAATAACAGAAAAACAAATTGAAAAAGGACAAAATAATTTTGTACAGTGATGTGTTTCAAGACACTATTGTTGCTTTTCATATAAACAAGTAATTTAATGCCTACTTCGTCGTCCTATGAAAGTAAACATGATTAATGCATATCTGTATTTTCTTTCTTTTCAATTGCTAGAAAGAACAAGTATAAAGTGCAACCTAAGTTTCTGGTTTATGTTGTTATACAATGGTTCTCGATAAATATTAACCTTGAAGGTCAATAACCGGAATAGTTTTAAGAGTCCATAAGGCCGGCCGGTTTCTTTGAAAAATTAATTTGCTTTGATTTTTGCTTTAATATTTAGTTTTTTCTATATCAGGTCAACTGGCGGAAATCCGCAAATCATCGATGGCGCGATTACTTTGTGACAACGTTAACTCAATTAATCTTATGCAGCCTAGAGCCTTCGAACAACTAAGCCCTGAGTAAGTATATACCTAGTTTCTTCGCGTCCCACTATTACTTTTATAATACAAAGAATACGTGTATGGACAGGTACTGGTATAAAGAAGATTATGCGTGTTGCATTTACTTAATTTACGTTACACCCGAATATATTAATGAGCTTTTTTCATAATTTCTGAGGGATACTCAAAATTTGTTGTATTGTTCGTGGATTCATGGCTCTTCAAGAGTAATGCAATTATGTTAATACCATGTGTAGTTGAAAAATAAAAATCCTCAGTGTTTTCTTTTTTCAATCGGCCTTAAATTTTCTATTCAATTATCTCGGCGATTTATTATGCAAAGTTTATTTCATTAGGCAAAACTAAAATCCTACGCAAGGAGAACGGTTTCATCCAGAGGTAATAAAGTGGTAAAAATAGTACATTACTGCAGAGGCCGGGAAGTAAGGGATCGCTGCACGAGTATGAATTACAAGGACGAGCGCCAGCGTGGCTTTGTACATAGGGCGCACTGTAAGTTTCCGGAACTGGCCACATACACATACATAATTAAAACATTTGAAAATGGAATTCTTTGGCTGTAGAATACAGTTTGTTTCATCTGACTGTCACGTGTTTTTAACCGACTTCAAAAAAGGAGGAGGTTTTCAATTCGACTATATGTTCTTTTTTTTGTTTTTTTTTTGTATGTTACGCGATAACTCCGGTATTTGTGAACCGATTTTCATGATTCTTTTTTTGTTGGAAAGGGGGTAATTCCATAGTGGTCCCATTTTATTTTGTAGAAAATCAACCACCTCATAAGGTGGCTGTTCACGCATGAAGATTCATTTTTATAAATAGCGCCTGACTTTAATTTAGGAGCAATTACTTTTAGCGATTATTTAGTTGATTTGCTATTTCTCCAATTCAAGGCGTATTTCTCTCGATATACTTTGAGTAGTGTCGTAGTGAGAACCTATTTTTATTATCTCCAGTATCAAGTCCTGTATAGTGGCGAACTAGGGGATATTTCAATGAAACTTAGCAAATAGATGTAATTCCACGTACTTTTGAGGTCGGTTTTTTTAGTACTCTGTACTGAGATTATTTGTGTATGATGTGATGTGGCGTCATTTTAGAAATTGGTTGTCTACTATGGTTGGCATAATCCAGAGGCAATCCTGCAAGGCGCTGTTTGGTGTACACCGAATAAAGACCCACTACTCGCAATATGTTTTTGAGGTCATTATGTTCACGCGGAAACACTTAGCACAGTTTGGGCGAGTGATGGTGATGGGTGGGTGCCTCGTTCGTGCGGGACAACTCCGAACAGTACCGCGTCACTGCACTTCATGAAAAAAACACGCGGGGTATAGGACCGACCTTTAATTATAAGATTATAAGCACCTACCTGCCGAACTAAAAAACTAATGTTATGAGGAAACGTTCAGGTGCAGACTGAAGTACCTTTTATTGGAAAAGTCCCTTTACTCAATAACAGAGTACACTCAAAGTACTTAATTAATTAAATTAATATATTTATTAATGACTTTGACATTAATCGTATTATTATACTGTAATCATTGACTTACAAATAAATGGACGACGGGTCTAATACAAAAACCACGAAAAAAATGTCTCAAGTCAACCTATTTAAACGTAGTGACATGTAAAAGAATATGAAAAAGCTAAAACGTTGAATTTAAATTGTAATGTCATCGCAGTACTGTTTAATTTTGCTAGCTTCGCTGTCAGTCGAACAAACGAAGACTAAAGCGTGAATGACGCTCTGTATACGATTTTAACGCCCTATAAGTTCGGATACTTTTTAGCGCGGACCCGACGTACATATAATTGTAAGTCACTGACTGTAATAATACTTATTAGTTACTAAGTATCCATATTGACATTTTCTGTATACGCTTGACATTGTTAGTTTAATTTAATTATTTATTAGTTTAATTTAATTATGTTTGATTTTGTACACGTACACTATTGCGTACTTATGATTCACTATTATATAATTATTTCTTCATTATTTTGTATACTTGACGCTCACTTTTCAAAGGGTAGTATAAAATGACATGTAATTGTATTTGTATGAAATTTGTTATGTTGACAGAAATAAACTAAACTGAGCTAAACTACATCACCATGGATTTAACTTGTGACAATTTTCGTAGTATGATTTTCTACGATTTTAAATGTAATTGAACAGCTCAGCGGAGCTTCTCTCGGCTTCAAACTGCTTTTGGTGATGAAGCACCATGCAAGACGACTATTTATAGCTGGTTTGCAGAATTCAAACCCGGTCGTGTGAATCTAAGTGACGAATTTCGTGATGGTCGCCCGTCCACTGCTGTGAAGAATAAAAACATCGGTGCTGTGCGCCGTATGATCAAAACAGACAGGCATGTGACATACCATGAGATTCAGGCATCTTTAGGCATAAGCATGAGTTAAATACAATCAACACTACACAAACATTTGGGTGTGAAAAAGCTGTGCTCTCGGTGGATCCCACACAATTTGACAGAGGCTCAAAAAACGGATCGTGTCACTTGGCGCAATGCCATGCTTACCAGATTCAACGAAGGGGCGTCAAATTTGGTGTGGGACATAATAACAGGTGACGAAACATGGATTTATAGTTACGATACCAAAACAAACCAGCAATCGAGCGTATGGGTCTTTCGAGTGAGTCGAATGCAACCTAAATGGACGCGCGTGCAAAGTGCCTCTAAGTGGATGATTGCTTCTTTTACTTACTAAAACTGGACACGTGACTACTGTTGCTTTGGAGAATTGTTGTACCGTGAGTAGTGATTGATACACAACCATTTGTTTGCCAGCAGTTATTGACAAACTTCGTAAAAATAGCCGTAAACGCCGTATCATCTTGCACCACGATAATGCCAGTTCTCACGCGGCCAGAGAAATGAATTTTTGAAGGTGAACAACGTTGACCTTATAAGCCATCACGCGTACCGTCCCGACCTGGCACCTTGTCACTTTTATTTATTTCCAAAAATTAAGAACCAGTTACGCGGTCAACGATTTTCATCACCTGGAAGGCTTTTGAAGAGTATGAAATATACGTTTCAGAGATTGTCACGGAGGAGTGGCATAAATGTTTTCAAAATTGGTTCATTCGTATGAAAAAGTGCATTAACGCTAACGGAGAATATTTTGAAAATATATAAAATATAAATAGCATATTTTTCTTATTCATTCCGGAAACTTATAGTACGCCTCACGTATTAATACAAATTTCCGCCGAGAGTTAAGTTATCATATTCCCGGAAAACCCTCGACTCAGCACTGCCCAGAATGCAACCGATGCAATTATCGAATTAATGCAATATTTATTTTATAATTTGAAGATCAGACTTGTCGTGGCATTGGCAAACTTGTATTCTCTCCATTAAATAAATTTTATTTTTAAAAGGCTTTTTTCGGTCGAGACATGTGTAGAATTTTTGCGAGGAAGTAACAAAATACTAAAGAGAGTAAGATGTATAATAGCAAAAGTAATGTATTTTTAACCGACTTCAAAAAAAGGAGGATGTTCTCAATGCGTCTGTATGTTTTTTCTTTTTTTGTGTGTACGTTACGCGACAACTCCGGTATTTGTGAACCGAATTTCATGGTTATTTTCTTGTTGTAAAGAGGGTACCTCCATAGTGGTCCTATTTAATTTTAAAGACAATCGTCCACCTCTACAGGTGGCTGTTTACGCATGAAGATTCGTTTTTGTAAATAGCGCCTAAATTGTATTACAAGGAGCAATTATTTTAATGGTTGGTTTTGCTATTCTCCAATTCAAGGCGTTTTTCTCTCACAATATACTTTGAGTAATGAGAACCGATTTTTATCCTCTTTTGTGTCAAGTCCCGTATAGTGGCGAACAAGGGGATGAATTCGGGTTTGCGCACTTTCCGGTAACTGATTTCAATAAAACTTGGTAATTATATGTAATTCCACGTACTTTTGAGGTCGGTTTTTTTAGTACTCTGTACTAAAATTATATTTATTGTTATTGCTTTTCTCACTAGCATTCATTTTCGCGACTAAAATACAAAAAAATCGACAAAACAAAAGAATACCTAAATACTTTAGTTTAAAAGTTACTGCCATTTTTTTTTTTAGTAACCTGTACAGGTTGGTATTTTTAATTCTCGCAGTTATGAACACTGGGCAGTTGGCTGTTTGAGTTTTTCTTTGAAGGTTTTCGCCAGGAAGAAGTCGCATGGTCCATAAATGACAAACTTTTTTTGAAAGTAATGCAACCATTTTCGAGCATGTTTGGGAAAAATATATTAAAGAGCAAAAAACTTGACTTACAAGATTTATTAGAAAACACATGGAACTGACTATAGACTCGTGTATGAAATTTTTTCCGGCCTGGGATTATGAAACGTTTATATCAAAATGATTATTTGCAGTGTAAATTTGTCACCGTTTTATGAGTGCGAGTCGCTTACCATCAGGCGCACGACTTGTTCGTTCCGTCACTTGGTATAATAAAATAAAATACATTATTGGAATAAATCCTAAAGGATAACGATGATTTATTACGCTGATACGAACAGAAAGGAAACAAATTGTTTATCTTGAAAGAGGAACCTGGCCTGTCGATGTGACAAATACAAAGATATGTAATATGCAAGGATGCCATGAAATTCGAGAGTCTAAAAAGGGTTTAATGAACGTCGCATTATTCCCCGGAGGGACCATAGACGGAAGCTTTTGATGGGTTTACCGGTTCCGTGTCCTTACGCATTAAAGCTAAATCTGCTAGCAAATGTTATTTTTATTGTGCAACTATTTACCTTTAAAAACTATGGCTTATTGGTGAATTCTCTTTGTTGCTCCTGAACAGTAATAATGTTCGATATGTCATTCATTAGGGCATGCAAAAGAGTGATTTTGAAAACCGGTTTTTTCAGTTTTTAATTTTTGGTTATCCAGTTATTCTGTATTTTCGGATATTTTTCTGTTGACACCGAATTCTTAAAAGTGACAGAAAACAAAAAAAAAAACATCAAATGAGTGTTTTGTGGATTACCTTTATTATTTACTGAATATACAGCTCCAATGAGATCAATCAATTTCTCGAAATATAATAAAAAACAAATCAACAATACTGATATATGATAATAAATATGCATATTTAGAGATAAGCAATGTGATTTGTCAGTTTATGGCCCGGTATAATGGGCGCAGTTATATTGCCCCTCAGACTTTTGCGATTTAAAGGCCCATTTAGATGGAGAGAGTTTCTCTTCTCGAACGTACGATTATCGAAAGGATATAAAAAACTCTCCTCGTCTAAACATTCGCGATTATCGACCGTCCACGTGAGCGATAATCTCCTCGCCTTTCAATATTGAACGTCTCCGTGTAAACAGAAGTGGAAAGCAAAAGTCGTATTTCGAGTTTATGTGCCAGCCAGTCGCTACTATGAGTGCAGTGCGCGAGGGTGTTTTAATTATCTCTGCTGTTCTAAGAGAAGAATTAATGAAAAGAAAACGTAAAAAAAGATGTTGGGTCAAAAAATGGATATCGAGAAGAAACACTTTTGGAGCATCTAATACTTTGTGTCTGGAATTAGAATTGGAAGATGAAGAGACATTCAAAAATATGTTTCGAGTTACGAAAACCCAATTTTCATATTTACTTCAACAAATTGGACCATCTATACAAAAAAAAGATACAAATATGCGTCAAGCTATAGCCGCTCGTACAAAATTGGAAATAACTTTAAAGTTTCTGGCTACAGGGGATTCCTTTCAAACGTTATCAGAAATATTTAGAGTACCTAGGTGTACCATAAGCTACTTTTTGGTTGAAGTTTTGCAAGCTATTTACACAGCGTTGGAAGATTTTCTTAAGGTATGAATAAAAAACTATTATTTCATTTCAAAATCAATATATTTATGTATTTATTCAAGATCAGTCTTGCTTGTGAGGTAGATTATTCAAAAATAAAAGATAATAGGATAATTCACTTACTAATTACCAATCAAAATAACATAAAGATAATTAAAAATATAAATAAAATCATTATTTTATGTAACCGTTGCAGTGTCATCGTGCACGCTTGCATTCCACCACTGTAGATCGCTATCAGGTCTTGAAAATGGGGAATCCGGCATTGGAGTAGTCTCTTTCAAATTTTTGAGTTTAAACTTTGAGAGTGTTGCCTGGATTTCATCCTGAGCAAATATCATATTTTTTTCATTAAGCTTGCGCAAGCTGGATGCAACATACTTCCCAAACATGTCCAAATCGTCCTCATATTGCCTAGATCTTTTATCAATAGCATCTAATCTATCAATGGCTGAATCAATGTCCAACTTTCTGGTCTTTGTCTTTTTAGTTTGGGTTGGCTTTGGTGTCAAATCTACTATATCGCTAACGGAGTCTAAAATTTGGAAAGTATGTGTTTCGTCATTATTTACCACTGACACATTAAATGGACTGTTTGGTGTATTTGGGGTAGACTCATCTATCTGAAATTTAAAAATAATAATAATGTTACTCGTTTTTTAGGTACCAAGGACCAAACAAGAATGGGTCAATATACAAACAGGCTTTGCATCTAGATGGAATTTTCCTACGTGTGTCGGAGCTTTGGACGGCAAACACATACTGATTAAATGTCCTCCAGGAACAGGATCAGAATTTTTCAATTATAAAAATACATTCAGTATTGTTCTTTTGGCATGTGTTGATGACGACTACTGCTTTATATATGTAAACATCGGAGCGAAGGGAAGAAACTCCGATGGTGGTATATTCAATGAAAGTACATTAAAAAAAGCTATCGAAAAAAATACACTGGACTTGCCTAGCGATGCTGTTTTTGTTGGAGATGAAGCTTTCCCTCTAAAACCCTACCTAATGAAACCATACCCTCGACGAAATAATTTGTCAAAAGAGCAAAAAATTTATAATTATAGACTATGCAGATGCAGGAGAATTGTCGAAAACGCATTTGGTATTTTAGTATCACGATTTAGGATTTTTGAAAGGCCAATAGGATTAGCGCCCGAAAAAATAGACGTCATTGTAAAAACGACATGTATCTTGCATAATTGGTTGAGAAAAACATCGCCGAACTCATACACTCCTCCAGGGTTTTTAGATGAAGAAACAGGAACTGGCATACGACCAGGTACATGGAGAGAAAACTATAGAAGTGGCGCCTTTGAAGATCTGAATTCGCAAAATTACGGAAACTTTACCAGAAAAGCAATTTCAATTCGTGAACAGTATTGCGATTATTTTAATAATCGCGGGGCTGTACCGTGGCAAGAAAATGCAATATTTTTGTAATATCTAAACATTTTCTAGAAATAAAAAATAAACAAAATTTGACTTTTTATCACTGTCTAATTACATACAAAAAAGAGTTTACTAAATACTCACCAAATTTGAGAATGTAGTGCGAAATTCTGAAGACTTTCTCAAAAAACTGTCTAAGGAATTGTACCAGGGTAATTTAGGCACATACACGTTTTCAGCTCCAGCTCCAGTCCCCAAAGATGAACTAACTTTTTTTTTTTCTTGTAAATATTGGCTCCTAATATTTTTAATTTTCCCTGATATTTCTTTCGGCCCAAATTCTTCACTTCCAAATTCTCTTGCAAATGCATTAAGTGCTGCATTTCTCGCATCTCGGTTCTTGTAATGTTCGTGTTCAGTATTCCACAAACACTCGTAACTTCTATAAAGTTCAATGAACTTAATATTGTCAGCAGTTCCGAATTTAAATGATTTTTGCGTCATTTTGATATAATATATACGTAATCAATAGGTACCGCAGTAATTACTGTAACCGCTGTAATCAAAAACTCGAATGGCAATTCTCGCACTCAAAACGGTTCGAACCGATTTGTGCGATACTCGCATGACCTTGAAAAAATGTCATACGAGATCGTGTTTAGACAAGTTGAGAACTCGTACGCAAGAATCTTCTTACTACATATACCTCTGTGTAAACAATCGAGGAGGCGATTAAGTTGCTTACGAGTCTCGTATGACATAATCGTAGGCGAGATTTTAGTTCTTGCCTGAATGTAAACATTATGATACGATAATCTTATGGCGATTATTGCTTACGAGAATCGCATACGAGTTTTCGTCTCGAAGCGTGCGAGAAACTTTCCCCATCTAAATGGGCCTTAAAGCTCTGAGTGTGACTGCAACTGTTATGGACAGGCGTGGCGCACGTTTTGTTTATTCCGTCACTTGGTATCATAAAAAAACGTATAACAAATAGATTTTTTAACATAAGTATTCTAGTATATTACTAATACGCTCAACTTTGAATGCCACGAACTAATACAATTCTAATTCCATTGAACTCAGTGATATAGGTGAATCCCTATTCAACCTATACACTGTTTAACCTTTCATAATACGATTTTTCATAAATACGTTTTTTACATTACAGGAACGAACTTGTGCCGTGTGATGAATTACCTGCTGTAGATCTCTCTTTCTGGCGTGACACTGAATATTGCAAATAAGTTATTCTAATATACAACCTATGAATAAAATAAAAAGCGAGTTCAATTTGTAATGTTGAGAAACCGCGTTATTTTCAAGTTAGTTTTCTCTACCAAATTTCGGAGGCAATTTTTTTTATTGAAATATTGTGGTATACCATCATGAAGTATTATTTAATATTCGAGTGGTAGTATCTTGAATTATTATTTAATATTTCACTATAATATATTCGAATACTTACGTAGTGAATTGCCTGTTAGTGTAGTAATTAGGAACGCTTTTTGTATTAAGTATTTCTAAAAACTATTTTCCCAAGTTATAAAAATTTGTCGTTACTTTGTGATGTCTTTTTAATTGAGATAAAGGAAAAATAATTGAGTAAAAAAATAATGTTTTATTTATCTTGTACTGAAAGAATTAAATTTGTTGACATTATTTAAACTATTTGGTTATTCTTAAATCGAATAACTCATAGAACAAAACATTACAAAGAATATAACAATAAACAAATCACTTGCGTTTTTTTTTTCAATTTCAGTTGTCTTTTTAGTTACTTTTCTTTTTACTACCCATACATCGTCGCCGTTCATTCATTTTCCATCTTGTACATAAACCTTTAAAGCTGTATCCCATGACGGTATTTATTTTTAACTTTATTTCATTCTTTCTTAAACAAATTGGAAACTTTATGACGTATGAATATTTTTACCTTGACCTGTAAACACAGGCTCCTTCTTACCCTTAAATCTTTCTGCCTTGATCTGTGTGTGCTCCTTCTTCTCATTAAATCACTCTGTTTTGGCCTATATTTGTTCCTTCGTACCGTTAGAGCCTTCTGCCTTAATCTGTATTTGCCCCTTCTTACCGTTAAATCCTTCTGCCTTGATCTGTATGTGCCCCTTCTTACCGTTAAATCCCTCTGCTTTGACATTTATTTGCTCCTTCGTACCGTTAAATCCTTCTGCCTTGATCTGTATTTGCTCTTTCTTAACGTTAAAATTTTCTGCTTTGATCTGTATTTGCTCCTTCTTACTGTTAAATCCTTCTGCATTGATCAGAAAATAGTGCAATATGGCTCAAGCGACCCTAACTCAGTTAAAAATACCCCCTCATCTATGTATATGAACTAACGATAAACTTAGCTTTTGCTATAATTTCTATTTGATGTAATTTTGGCGGGAAATTTTGATGTCTCCTTGTCCGTTATAGTTTAAAATATCACTTACAATAGAAAATGCTGTTAAGGTAAAAATGTCACTTACGATAGGTCATGGCTCGATATTGTCCGAGTCTGAATAACTTCGCATATTATGTACATTTCGATGTACAATGGATCTTGGGCCAATGGGCTATGAAAGAACAATTAATAGTTACCGAACGGATCGATGGTAAATGTCCGAGGGGTCGCTATGCCACAAGATTGTCCAACCAAGTCTATAGCTCTCAAGGCTCTCGGCAACCGAGTATATCATTCTCCATCAGAAAAAGTAAGCACCCGGGTTTTAACCAAGAGTTTTGTTAACAAGAGGTTTGTTTTGTTGTGAGTGTTTGGTTTTGATAGTTTTAATCTACTCATTAACGCCCAACATTGAGGGCAAAAATTATTTATATATATATAACTAAATATTCGTTGTAAATAAAGTTTTGTTCAAATTAAATGGTATTATTACAAAATGTTTATTGCTTTCTGATTTAGAGTAGATTCGATTTGCCTTTCCATTTAATCGATTCGCTTGAAGTAGTTATTAAAGAAATCGATACCTAAAGTCATTAGATCACATATGCACTTAAATCGATCGTCAAAAAGAAAACGAAACGTGATGTGCATCCTTAGTACTGAGAATCCATAGGATTGCAATTTTGGATCCTTTTTGTCTAAATAGATTTTTTACATCGAAATTTGTAATAAGTATTAGAAAGTATAGTAATATAGTAAGTTATGGAAAAATCCGTATTTGGACAGAATTGGGTTGAAACACGCTATGGGTAAAAACACGGTTAAAACCTTTATTGTGGATTGGGTTTTAACGCAGTGCCCGTCACTGGTCTCCATAATGCGAACCGCAGACCGCCACAGATGTCGCAGCGTCGTTCGTCATACAGAAACTGTTTCGGCATAAGTATGCCAATGTAAGTAAAAACCCGCATCGTGTTTATCGACTATACGCACAATAACTTTATAGTGCTACAAAATGTTCATAAAAGTTTGTATTTCGATTACTGATAATCAGAAAATGTTTAACCCCTTTGTAATTAATATGAGTTCGTAAAAAATACGAACTCATATTAATCAATTATCTGAAGCAACCTCAAAACGCATAAAATTAAAAAAAGAAAATAGAAATAATAGTCATTAACAACCAAAAACAAAGATGTGCAACAAGCACATAGGAAAATTCGTAAGGTTTGCTGCTTTGTTTCGTAGCTCAGTTGGGAGAGCGTCAGTCACGTTTTGTTGATGGAGCTGCGTTCGACTCCAGCCATGGTCCAGCTGGATCGAATGAAGTTTTTGTGTTCGATCTTTGTATTAATAATTATAACAAACTAGTGGAATAATTTCGCAAAAAATATTAATATCATGTGATATTCAATCATCGAGTGTATAACCTATATAAAAGTAATAGAGACGAAATGTCATTTAATTTCTTTGAAAATTATTCTGCTAAATCATTACGGTGATAACTGCGCTCCCATTGACAGGTGTCGTCAATTGTTTCACTTCAAATCGACCAGTTTAGTTTAAAGCTTCGCTATAAAAAACAGCAACAACTTTATGATTACCTCGTTCCCCACACTAGGCAAGCCTGTATCATATATATATATATATATATATATATACATATATAACTATATATATATACACTACCGTCCAAAAGTTTGGAATCACCCTAATTTTCGTCGGCAGAAAAACTATACCGCAATAAATCCATCAAAAAACGTATTGTTATTAGAGATCAGTATTTTTACGAACGTACTAACAATAACATTTAACAAAAACACTAATTTCTTATCAACTATCCATTGTTTTCAAAAAAGACCGACACACGTGTTTTATGACCACTCAAGTTGCGACACCGCCGTTTGAAGATTTGTTACAATTGGCGCTTTTAAGCATTGTTGTAGTAATGAGTAGTGTCTAATCTTTGAAATGTGGGTGTATTATTGCAAAAATTATCAGTTTAGAGTTCAGTCTGATTTGTGACGTTCTTGTGATAGTTACAAAAGTTTGCAAGCTCATAAAATGGCAAAAAGGAAACAGATTTCGCTTGAACAGCGGAGTGCTATCTGTACTTTGAACGAAGAAGGCTATTCTATGCGGCAAATCGCAGAAAAGATCGGTGTTTCATACAAAGGTGTACATTATACTCTTGTACGAAAAAAAGCTACTGGAGGAAATCAAGACCGGAAGAGATCTGGACGTCCCAAATCTACAAAAAAGCAGGAAGATGACTACATTGTGACGTTATCGAAACGAAATCGACGTTTAACTGCACCTCAAATTGCCGCTACTTTAAATGAAACCCGAGAAAAGCCAGTTTCAATAACAACTGTTAAAAGGCGTTTACTATCTGCTGGTCTAAGAGGATGTGTAGCAGCCAAAAAACCCAGATTGACTAGTGTTCATAAAAGAAAAAGACTGGAGTGGGCCAAAACACATAAAAACTGGACAGTAGAAGACTGGAAAAAAGTGCTTTGGACGGATGAGTCCAAATTTCAGATTTTTGGATCCAATAGACGAGTTTTTGTGCGCCGATCAAAAGAGGAGCGGGCTTTAGAAGCGTGTACTGTGCAGACTATTAAGCATGGCGGTGGCAGTGTGATGGTTTGGGGATGCTTTGGTAATAATAAACCCGGCCATCTGATCAAAATCACCGGGAAACTGAATAAAGAAGGCTATCTGAAAATACTTCAAGAAAATGCCATTCCCTCTGGAATTAATGTGATTGGTCGAAATTTTGTTTTTCAACAAGATAATGACCCTAAGCATTCATCCAAATTATGCCAGGAGTTTTTAGAGCAAAAACGAAGTCAAAAAGTTTTGCAAATTATGAAGTGGCCCTCACAATCGCCAGATTTGTCTCCGATTGAATTAGTATGGGATGAACTGGATAGAAAAGTGAAGAGCCGGTGCCCATCAAGCTCAGCACAGTTGTGGGAATATTTACAGAGCGAATGGAAGTCACTGGAATCCGAATACTTTAATAAATTAATCATAAGAATGAGTAAAATTTGTGAACTAGTAATTAAGAATAAGGGTGGCCATTTTGACGAAGCGTAAATTTAACGAAAACTGTATACTTTGTTTTTATTTGTACTGATTCTATTTAACTGAATGCTAATCTAAGGTTTCATTAAGATTAAAGTGTAATAAAGTATACTTTACACATATTACAGTCGTTTAAATTAAAATTACCCTAGTGATTCCAAACTTTTGGACGGTAGTGTATATACATATATATATATATATATATATATATATATATATATATATATATATATATATATGTATATATATATA